CGCCCCCGCAGGCGTACCACGCGCAGCCCCGGCTGGTCCGCCAGCACAACATCCAGGTTCCGGAGATTCGCGTGACGGAGGAGCCCGATAAGCCGGACAAGGAGAAAGAAGCGCAGAGCAAGGAGCCGGAGAAGCCGGTGGAGGAATTTCAGTGGCCGCAGAGGAGCGAGACGCTGTCCCAGCTGCCCGCCGAGAAGCTGCCGCCCAAGAAGAAGCGGCTGCGCCTGGCGGACATGGAGCACTCCTCCGGGGAGTCCAGCTTCGAGTCCACGGGCACCGGCCTCTCTCGCAGCCCCAGCCAGGAAAGCAACCTGTCCCACAGCTCCAGCTTCTCCATGTCTTTCGAGAGGGAAGACACCGTGAAGCTTGCCGCCCCGGGTAAGCAGGATGAGTTTGGGAAGCATTCGGAGTTCCTGACGGTCCCCGCTGGGTCCTACTCGCTGTCTGTGCCCGGCCACCACCACCAGAAAGAGATGCGGCGCTGCTCCTCCGAGCAGATGCCTTGCCCGCACCCAACTGAAGTCCCAGAAATTCGGAGCAAATCCTTTGATTATGGGAACCTGTCCCACGCTCCGGGGGCCGGGGCGCCGGCCTCCACCTTATCCCCGTCCCGGGAGAGGAAGAAGTGCTTCCTGGTGCGGCAGGCTTCCTTCAGCGGCTCTCCCGAGATCGCCCAGGGCGAGGCGGGCGCGGACCTGGGCGTGAAGCAGGAGCAGATGGAGCACCTGCACGCCGGCCTGAGGTCCACGTGGCCCCACGGCCCGTCCTCTGTGCTGCCCCCTCTCCAGGCAGAGGACCCAGGGAAGCAGCTGGTGGGTCCTTGTGCCCAGCTGAGCTCAGGGCCACTGCACCTGGCCCAACCACAGCTCATGCACATGGACAGCCAAGAAGCTCTGAGGAATCCCTTGCTACAACCAACATCCTATCTGACAAGCAAGCACTTGTCTGAACAGCCACATTTATTTCCACACCAAGAGACCATCCCGTTTTCTCCCATCCAGAATGCCTTGTTTCAGTTCCAGTATCCAACCGTCTGCATGGTTCACTTACCCGCTCCGCAGCCTCCTTGGTGGCAGGCCCATTTCCCACCTCCCCTGGCGCCACACCCTCAGAAGAGCTACAGCAAGCCTCCTTTCCAGGCAGAAATCCATCCTAGCTATCCCCTGGAGTACGCCGCAGAGCACACTGGAAAGAAAGCCGCTGATTATGCGCACACAAAAGAGCAAGCTTACCCGTGTTATTCAGGAACATCAGGCCTACACTCAAAGAACCTCCTTCCAAAGTTTCCGTCGGACCCGAGCACCAAGTCAATGGATACTCCCTCCGAGCAGGTTCTTCAAGAAGATTTCACCTCGGCAGCCGCTGGGCCTTTGCAGTCCTTACCGGGAACAGTGGTTCCTGTTAGGATCCAGACCCACGTTCCGTCCTATGGGAGTGTCATGTACACAAGCATCTCTCAGATACTTGGGCAGAACAGTCCTGCGATTGTCATATGCAAAGTCGATGAGAATATGACCCAAAGAACACTGGTAACCAATGCGGCCATGCAAGGGATAGGGTTTAACATTGCCCAGGTGTTGGGGCAGCATGCAGGCTTGGAAAAATACCCCATCTGGAAAGTACCTCAAACCTTACCCCTCGGCTTAGAATCCTCAATCCCCTTGTGCTTACCTTCCACCTCGGACAGTGCCGCCTCCCTGGGAGGGAGCAAGCGGATGCTCTCTCCAGCCAGCAGCTTAGAACTCTTCATGGAAACGAAGCAGCAGAAAAGGGTAAAGGAAGAAAAGATGTACGGACAGATTGTGGAGGAGCTCAGTGCTGTGGAGCTAACCAACTCAGATATCAAAAAGGATCTCTCCCGCCCGCAGAAACCCCAGCTGGTTCGACAAGGCTGTGCTTCTGAGCCAAAGGATGGCTCGCAGTCGGGGTCATCTTCCTTCTCCTCATTGTCGCCCTCCTCATCTCAAGACCATCCCTCTGCCAGCGCGCCCCTAAGGGAGCCATTCCCTCCCAGCTCCAGGGCACCCTCTCTCTCGCAGAAGTCCAGTGGGCCTTCTGAGAGCAAAGAGTCCTCAGATGAATTAGATATTGATGAGACAGCCTCCGATATGAGCTTGAGCCCACAGAGTTCCTCATTGCCGCCGGGAGACAGTCAGCTCGAAGAGCAGGGAAGGGGCCAGAAGCTGCCCGTTGGCATGCTGGTCCACATGGCCTCCGGCCCAAGCAGGAAAGTAGCAAACTCGACACTTCTTTTCACCGATGTGGCAGATTTCCAGCAGATTCTTCAGTTCCCCAGTCTGCGGACAACAACTACTGTGAGTTGGTGCTTCTTGAATTATACAAAACCCAATTATGTGCAACAGGCCACCTTCAAATCCTCGGTTTATGCTTCATGGTGCATTAGTTCCTGTAATCCAAACCCATCAGGATTGAATACCAAGACCACTCTGGCTCTTCTGAGGTCCAAGCAAAAAATCACCGCAGAAATTTATACTCTGGCTGCTATGCACAGGCCCGGAACCGGCAAGCTGACGTCATCGAGTGCTTGGAAGCAGTTCGCTCAGGTAATGGATGCTGTTCTGAAAGCATTCTGCATTGTGGATTTGATTGCTGAGCAGAATACATAGTGAAGGGCATTCTAAAAATTGCAAATAAAATGAAGGTTTGAGTTGGGGGAGTCCTGTGCAGCATTAGGCTTGGCCCTGGGTAAGAGAAACCATTGGTGTGAGCTCAGTTATAAGCGTCCCAGGAAAAGTCCAAACCACAAGTATCCCCTCCACCCAAGTGCCAGGAAATTCTACCTCCGAGACTGATTCCTTTGGGTTCTTCTCCCTTCTGACCTGTGTTAATGACCTAGCACGGTGGTTGGCAAACTGCGGCTCGCGAGCCACATGCGGCTCTTTGGCCCCTTGAGTGTGGCTCTTCCTAAGCCTTAGGAGTACCCTAATTAAGTTAATAACAATGTACCTACCTATATAGTTTAAGTTTAAAAAATTTGGCTCTCAAAAGAAATTTCAATCGTTGTACTGTTGATATTTGGCTCTGTTGACTAATGAGTTTGCCGACCACTGCCCCAGCCTATCCAGGTGCTGGATGGAAGATGTGAAGTTGCTATTCCCTTTATTGGTCTTGGTACCAAATTATACGACCACACTTATAATGATTGGCACTCTCAAAATTAAGAGAGACAGCATAAATGATACACACTTTGGGTTGGGAGGATTGTGTTCAAACCCATTCTCTGCCACTTCCATGTTCTGTGATCCTGGGCTGCTGCTTAATCGCTCAGAGTTTGTTTCCTCGTTGGTTATATGTGAAAAATAAACCTCCTTTCACAGGGTAGTTGGGGAGATTGAGAACTAATACAGGAGATTCCGATTTCATTCGTTTTAATACTCTTTAGTTACATCCCTAACTGCCT